TTCAATAGATAAGGAGGAGATACGGTTCTGCGATATTGCGACTTGCATCTTCAATTTCCGGTTACGATCCCTAAAAGGGGAAAACAAAATATATACCCCCACACATATGGAAATTAAGTTATATATAAGTTTGGCCGATATCGTAAGTAGATTTGTACTTCATGATTGAAGACACCACGGACGTACGGACACTTTGCTGACTTTTACAGGAAGATTGCAGAAAAGGTAACACTGTTTCGAATAAATATCATAACAGTAATTGGCAAGTGTGTGACGTCTAATGGCAATTATTTTAGTCAAGATGTGACGTCTAATGGCAATTATTTTAGTCAGCGTTCACCAAGTTGATAAAAACCTAAACAATGGAAAATGCAAGTTGAGTATTTAAGTTTATAGGATTTTTGGCACATGGCTCATGAACGACCAAAAACCGGATTTGTTTTCTCATTTTTGTTTTTTGTTTTTAGATGGTTTGTTGGTTTTCAAGAAGAAGATCTTTTCCGTTTTCACCAACAAGAAAAATCTTATTTCCCAACGTGCGAGACTCGCATGAGTAGTCAAAATCATTAAACACCACCTATATAGTAGTAGTTATTTCAATTGTCATTGTTTTTATACGAACAGAAAACACCACAAAGAACATTTGCTTCATGCAATTCGAGAATAAAGGTTCAATTATTACCGACGAGCGACGGAATGGTGTGCACTGATCGAGAGTTCCACGAACCCTTCAATTCCCTCTTTTCTCCAAGTTTTTCTTACAAGATTTACATCAACCAAAGTATACCTTCTAAACATTCTTCTTAAATACGTTCCCAATGATGCATGCACATTGTCGATTTTATCGAGTTGTTCATACACTACTGTATCAGAAAGCATGTATACTAGAATATTAAAAATTTATAATTCTACTTTTAAAAGTACGTTCAGAAATTCGTTATTTTCTTACACTGGCTGTCAATTCAGTACTGTAGGATTTCTAAAAATAATTAGGGAAATATTGTCGTCAAAAAAATCTCAAAAGGCATAAATGAAATCTTTGCATCGTGACTATCAAGACTGGCAACCGAAGTTCGTTTCCTGCTTAAAGATTATTAAATCCTTCGCTAAATAACACTTGATTTCTGTCTTAAGTGTTAGTAAAATCAAGAAGTATTTGTTAAATTAAATTTCCACGAAGAAAATTGCACATAATAGCGAAACGAATGAACGGAACACGTTTAATTAGAATGCGTGCAACGTCAGTCACCGGCATTCAATTAGAGACCTTTTGGCGTTAACAAGGATTTTTCTTTGCAAAATATTGATCGAAGATTGTTGTTTCTTTAATTGGCACAAGAAGGACGTCAAGCTTTTCCTACGTTATTGGAAAATTTTCAATATCTTGTCGAAATATTGGTAGTAAATTAAGATATTTGTTTACACGAAGTTTCAGAAATATAATATTCGTTTTGTTCCCTTCAGCTATTGTTACAGATCATGCATTATGTTTCAGAATAATACGCAATATATGAAAGAAGACACTGAAAGAATCCATTATTTATGGATCTTTATATTGCTGATCTTTTTATGTTTTAAAAAAGAGGTTGATGAATAAAAAAGTAATCATCTGATCTTTTTTTTTTAAATGTAAGGATGGGCAGTCAGATTGATGAAAAACTACCAAATGTGTATGAAGAAACAAAAGAAAATAAATATACACCTTGGATAAGCGTTGGTCTCTCACTTACAATCGGTAAATAATGCAGACCAGAGACCCAACGTATTCATCACTTGTTTATCTGAGAGGCCAATTTGAATTTTCTCGCTTGATTCTAAAAAAATCGTAAAAGATTGTTTGCATAGACTATACCGCACATCGAACATTGAATTGTATGCATAAATAACAGGATAAAATACCAGATAAATGCATTATTGAAAAACGAGGATGAAGGACAAACCTACTGCAACAACTTGTTGGTCTCTACGTGGAGTCATTTAAAATAGTCACATCCACGAAGGCTTTTGCACCAAAATAACCGCACTCTGCATATTATCATAAAAAAAATTCTAGTATAGACGGAATTAATTGCGATGTAACAAATAATAACTAACTTTCAAGTTACATTAAGGATTTCTTTATATATGACATAACTTAGACCTTAGATTTCAAATGACTGGTCATAATTGTTTCAAAGCTTATTTGTCAAAGAAATGAATAATTCAGTTAGTCTGAAATACCTTTTTTTAGTAATTGTTTAATGTGAAATTTCTATTCCAGACATGAAGACTTCAGCCAAAAGAAAAACACTTTTTATATAAGATTCTTACTATAACTATTTTTGATATCTAAGACACTAAATTCTTTGTTATAAAACATAAATGCCAGATGGCGGATGTGCAATCATTTTAGGGCCACTAAATAATTTGTTGCAAGCTACTGTTGTTGTTTTATCTAGTACATATACTAAGCGATGCAGAAATTAGATCATGTTGGGTGTTTGATATTTCTGTTCTATGTAACTCAGTCCTATGTTTGCCAAAATATACAAAGGATTTCATGTGTTATTTAATCTACGCACCCTGATACACAACCTCACCAAAATATCAACAGATTTAAAGCTTTGCTGACCAACACTGTATTAGTAAAGGATTGAAAAATTATGTTACTAGATACCTTTATTTTGGAGAGAACAACGATTTTCAGACTCCTTTGGGTCCCATATGGCCTGGGAATGACAGGAAATACGAAAATATTTTTTGGATTAAAATGCTTTTACACCAAAAACTTTATGAAACCTGTTTAATAAATTTCAATGAACTATGAATAACTCAATTTTTAAAGACAATATATTTTGGTTGTTGGGTTGCTTTCTCATTGACGTAAACTCCAAATCTTCTTTTAAGCATATTTATCTTGTACGAAAATGCAGTAAACTAAGTTTTAGTTCTCTTATGAAGAGCACATAAGTGCTATACAGGAGATTTGGATTAATTCTGGTAAAGAGTCATTAGTTTGTAATAATGGTTTCTAAAGTTAATGTATGTAAACAACACTAACACCTAATATTCAATGAGCGTTTACCTTTCGAAAAAATGTGCTATTTCATATTCCATTACACGGAAAATATATTATAGTAGAACATGTAGGCAGCTAAAGAATAAAACAGCTTTATGTGTACCTTTGGCAAACACTTATCTTAACTAATATACCTATATTACATAATGCTAAAAACAGAATGCCAGACAATTTTAAACCAAACATATCGTTACTAAGCAAACTAGCGGTTGATCAATACAAGACAAAAAACCAAAAGATTTTTCTGCTGAAGATAAAACCTATTAATCTCTAACCATATAAAACAGAGTTGATTAAGACATAATGTGCATCAATAACCTATTTATTAAAGATAAACATTATCTCTCAGACATTTTAATCAAGCGTTTCATAAATTCGGTACCAGAAACATATTAAAACGACAGGGAATATCTTGTTCAAATCCATGCTTTTTGAGTAAGAACCATTGGTAGCTAATTACATTGAGATACAATTTTGATAAGTCGAATATCTTCATAACTCAAGTATTGAAGGTCTGATATGAGATTCAGAAACAAATTATTTCTAATGCCGCATGTTCCGTGACACTGGGACCAAGATGGTGATTACGTGAAATAAAAAGTTGATCGGTATCAAGAATGTCGGAAATGAATCAAATTGAGAAGCTTTTAACAGAATCAGACTCACATAATATAGTATCAAACGAGGCTCTTGAAGCGATTCCAAATCGCGAATAAAATAGGAAAAAATAAAACTTTACAATTAAAAAGCATTGTTGAAACAGACAACATAGTTCCTAAGAAAATAGTATTTTTGAATGAGATAAATGCAAGAATATATGTAGGACTCTGAACCGCTGATGTGCGATGGTTTGACGCTGAAGTGCGTTTTTGATCACGCTGATGTGCGATGGTGGCATTGTGACGCTAGCTTGTTGATAGCTACGCCGAAGTGCGATGGTAGTAAGACTGAATTGCGATGAACTACATAAACTATATTTTCAATGTTTTTCATGTCGTATGTAGAAGTCAATTTATTTGTTATGGAAGCAGTTTTTCTGTTTTTTAAGTTATTAAGGGGCTTGCTTATACACTTTAATACTACGTGAAACGGGTTGTGATTGGTGGAGAGGGGAAAGTTAACCTTCTGTAGCAGATTTTATTTCGAAATCTACAAAAGGTTCTTTTTCAACGTACGATCGAGCATGTCATTCTCTGAATACACACCGGCTCGCAGACTCACCTTATTATAACGGTAAACGAGGAACTCACGAGAGGAACAAAGTAAATATAAAACGTTAACGTAGAATTATGTTCACATGCAGAAAATCAGAGGATCTCTTATTTAGTATGAAACTGTAACTAAGGGCATATATAGACAATAACGAATGCAAATTTATATACTAACTATTAAGAATTCTACTTCTCATAATAATTGAACATCTGTATATTCTAAACTTGTTATCAAGTGTAATATATCTTCAACCATCGCACATAAGCAAACGGACCAACGAACCTCCGAGTCCTACATATATATGGCTCCTGAATTTGCAAAAAGTAAACATTTATAGTCCCTCTGTAAAAATGCTTATTCATAAAGTGTAAACGAGGACCGTATCTCTTCAGTTAGTACAGAAATGTCATTTGTTATGTTATACTGTAACGTCATAAACATGTCATATATGGTAAAAAGACTTATTTTACAATTATTTTTTTTTCTGGGGGGGGGGGGGGGGGGGGAGGGGGGAGGATAAATTAATAATAACAGGAATTAAAATTATCAAAATGATGCAATTATGACAGTTTTCCTAAATTTGAAATTAACTAAAATCTGATGGATGTTTTTGGCGATATCATAGATTTTGTGATAATTAATCAAGGGATAAAACTGCTCTTATTTATATATTCATAGTGAACCTAATTCTTAACTCGAACCATGAATTTATACATAGATCTGGACTTACCTCTAGCCATTTCTTCTCGAAGTCTCTTCTCAATAAACTGAAAATTAGATAAACATTATCAATGATAAATAAACAAACCTAAGGTCAAATATAATTATATACACTTTTTTGTTGAGTAGGGGGTCCTGCTAGCAATTGTCTGGGTAATCTTGAAACTAGCAGTAGACGTTTAAATAAAAATACCTTTGAATGTGTACCTTGTTAAGTTCGTTTGACATACAAAAAAAAGAAGATATAATTGGATGGGAACAAGAAAGCTGCTTATTTTTTATGCTTACGTTAAGAGTGTTAGGAAAGACAATAAAAGAAGCTTACTCCGTCTTAATGTGGATAACGAGATAGCATTAGTTTTTGATGTTATTCAAGTCAATACGGCATTATTCGCCTAACGCTAATGTATTAATATAAATCAATATGACTTTTTGTAGCAAAGTAAATCACATAGAAGGAAATAAATTTTGATTGAAAATCAATAAACGAACGTAATTAGTACATGCAATCAACGGTTAAAAGTCTTTAAGCCGCTTATGACAAATCAAGCTCAATAGAAGTTAGATAAGTTAATGGTAAAATTCAGCCTTCAGTTTTTTGTTGTTTATCAGCTTTGTTTTCTCTGTGCAAAAATCAAATAATATTTTTGCAGAAATGTCCTTAATTCTATTTCAACGTGTTTAAGTTAATTTCATTTGAACGTGTTTTTTTGTATGGACAGGGAAATGGATGGGATAAAAGAAACCACACTTTACCTCGGAGGAACCCCCAAGTCTGTAGAGTGAAATCCTCTGGGATTTTAAAGAAGAAAATTATATTCACTATATCAAATACCATAAATGGGCATCGCAAAGTGATATCCATCCCAATCATAGAAAAATTGAATGTCTGTCTTTCTATCTTTCAAACTGAGGGATCTGAGCTTTTACAATTGAACTTGACATTAAAGAGAATTAAAGCTCTCCCCTATGTCAAGCATTATGATGAAATTTAAGGAAGTTTGACTGTGTGAGTGGAATATTCTACTTTGTCTACACCATTCCATATTGTAACATTAAGGTTTCTGACCATGAAATTCAATTAGGTTCAAGCTTTCCAAATGATCTATCGTTTTATTATGAAGATTATATGCGGACATTTGTACAGCATAAAATTCCCCAGTCTCGTAGGTCAACTCTGAGGTTGCTAATAGTTTTAATCTTATAACTCATGCTAAAAAAATTACCTTTGACAAAAAAACAGAATAGGGGGTGATCTTGAACAATTTACTAATATATATATATATATATAATATTTAACCGCTTCAGGTTAAAGTTTTTGGTTAAAGTTTTTGGTCAAGGTAGTTTTTGATGAAGTTAAAACTTTGTACACATGTTCCCTATGATATGATCTTTCTAATTTTAATGCCAAATTAGAATTTTGACCCCAATTTCACGGTCCACTGAACATATAAAAAAACGAGTGGGGCATCCGTGTACTATGGAAACTTTCTTGGGTTTTATTTATAAATTTCTGATATGACATTGAGGAGTTATGGAACTTTATTTGTTGAAAAATCGCTCATGGCGCATCTCATTCATTTTTATTATGTAGGACCATTAACATTTACTACACCATGCAACACTATATATATACAGATAAATTCTTTAACTGTACGCCGGTCAATTTTGTCCGCCGGCATTACGTTAGAGAAATCGGAAAGACTTCCTTTTGAACCCCTTCAATTGATTGAATAAACATTGCATGGAAAGGGGTTCAGAAGGAGTTTTTGCCGACAGGATAATGAACTTTAAAATAACGGAAAAAATAAAACAAGTTTTAATACTCTTATCAAGAAGCAGTACTGATGTAAATTGGGGACAACCGAACGAAAAACAATTCCCATATCCAAATTAGTTTTTTGTCTTCATTTCGCACAGGAATAAAAACCACTCAATGGGATCATAAACAATACCACACTATCAAACAGATATACAAAATATTTATTTATTCCTGTAGTTCTGATGTAAGACACGTGCATATAATTCACTAGGGGTTTCTGATAACTCTAACCATCAGTACAAGATTAGATATTAAGCTGAATTACAGATGCTTATTGACAGAAGTGGAAACGTTTTTCTCAGATTTCTAAATCTGTTAGCACACAATAAGGTGTAAATCAGACTGGCTTTACAATGGATGGTGTCAAAATGATTAACGCTTCGGCAGATGTCAGATGAGTTTATTATATGATGGTTAAGTAATCGATAATTACGATGCCATAGCACCTTTATAAATATGATCAACAGAAAAAAGTCAAGAACAAGGAATTCCAGGCTCGCACCTTGGGCTGATTTACGTTCATATTATATAATTCAAAATCAAGGCATGTGGAATTACAATATACTTTGATATGTAACATCTTGCTTTATGATGTAGGTATCTAAAATGAGTTTGTATCTTGTTGAAAGTATTTTATCTGTTCCTATAGACATTCATGTGGAAAAACTTAATGACTAAAAAGAAATTACAAAACACAAAAATGTCATAAAAATAACCATTAAAAGGTAAATATACTTTAATGTGCTTCAACCTGCCTATTGCTTAATTTCTTAGACACCTCTTCATTCCATAAACCATAAATGAGTGTTGTATTCGATTGGCATAACTGAATTTATTTTCATCAAGAGCATTCAGAATCATCGAAAAACAAACAGAGGTCTAACAAGAATGATCCATCTTTGTCTGAAGGGGGTACATAGGTTTTGTTAACTTGTAGAATATATGAGCTGAGAATTTATAAACTATTGTCACAAAGGTTAACCATCCCCTGAAATCTTCAATAATTCAGGAATACAATGGCAACTATGATTGTCTGGACTCCTTCCTTCCACCAATCTTAATGATGGTGGCAGTCATCATCTTGGATATTTTATGTTTTTAAGTTGTTCTTGGCAGAAAAGATGCACTTTTGTACCTTTTGCCATAAAGTAATTACCAAACTGTGCTTGACTCTTGACTATGCGTGAAAAGAAAACAATATCCATTCCACAAAAAAAAACATCCTATCCGTTGTTTTTGCCCCCGCCCCCTGATTTGTGCGTGCCTGTCTAATTGACGTATACCCCACATAGCCTTTTATCATATTTCAATGTTTTAATTAATCAAAATATAACATAGGGGAACCTTTCAAACTCAATTTAAAAGTTTATAGGGTAGAGAAATACTTTTTGTCGCTTTAGGCTTCTTCTTGTTTCTACTTTATATGGACACAAAGAGGTACGACCACTTCCCTGTTTTTATATCAATCAATGAGTCAAAATAGTTTATACTAAGCTCGTATACTGATGGTGAATCTTTGTTACATTAATTCATAACCTTTCTATACACTCGGGTTACTATGAACTGACTCTTGCGTATTGTTACAGACCATATGTTCACCTGTTTTTGTTATGTCTTTGGTTTTTGTTTTGGTTGTTGTCTTATCGACGTATACTGACATCTCCTGTTATAAAATTTGAATATAAAATTCTGAATAATCAACTGATTTTTTTTCAACAAATTTTACAAATATCTATAAAATGAAAATGTTGTCCAGTTCCACAATTTTCGGTTGCAAATTTTACATTTTTGTTTATAATTCGCAAGGAATGTTATCAATAATCAAAATGAATAAACTCGCATTTGAAAGACAATGTAAACTATAGTTGCTATACCTTGAATAAAATTAAGAGTTTGTTTTGAGTGTCTTCGGCATTTATCTTGAGACTCAAACTGATTTTTTTTTTTAAATCTATCGGTTTTTAACAATTCTTGCCCGAACCTCAAAAAACACACATACGGCTGTGGTACTGAGAATTTTATTAAAGAATCAAGGACTTTATTGAAAATGATCTGGATGGAAAGCCTCTACAATTAAATGACATAGATCAATTGTATATGCCTTTCATTATGGCCTTGCTCATTTTTGTTACATTTTTGACCGTAAAGGGCGATGAAAAGATATGACCAATCTCAAGCTTATACAACACTTTGAACTTCATGCACCCTTTCAGTTATAATGAAACATCAAAAACATATTGCTGGAAGCAAGGAAGTTAGAAAGCATACTTTAGGTAGCTTTACCATATCGGTAATGTTAATCACAAAATATTTTGAATTGCTAGAGGGTAGATGAACGGTTTTCGAGACTATGTTTACGGACTGTCTCTTTATTCGTTTATGTATATATAGAAATTGTGACATATCATACGACGACGAGTTTTTTTTTAACGACCTTGACTGCCCATGAGGGTCTTGCACGGTTGGAGGGTAGTCTTGATGCTATTTATATCTCTTCCCCAGAGGGTCGGACAGTATGGTGATTCATACGGTTGTCTCTCTGTACAAATTATAAGAACCGCTGGCTAAAATTAGTAACAATTTTGATGGACTTTTAAGCAAGCTTCTATTCTTTAAAACTTTAATTGAAGTATATGTTGGATTAAGAAACACACCAGATGCGGATCCAGGATTTTGGAAAAAGGGTGTCGGGGCCCCAAAATAAGCAACGTTTGGAGTGGGACATGTAAATAGTCTATGCATCAACCATTATGTAGCTCCATAAAAGGGGGACCCGACCACCGTGCCCCCTACCTAAATACGCTCTGAACACAATATAAAAACAGATTAAAAAGTTTTCACGCAGTTAGAGAACTGAAATATCAGCCGATCGACACACTATGAACCTTTTTCGATTACCGTTCGCAACACTTAATTACTACCACTGCTGAAGGACTACAAGTCCATTAGGGTACCATCCACCTAGTAGCCATACAGTGCTTCGGTATTAATATGACTTAAATGATACAATGTGTCGGTGAATTTCTATTTAAAAAATCAGGCAATTGTTATTTAATTAAGGCTGCAACTCCATGGGCAAATTTGACCTTTAAAAACCGTATATTTGACTTGCGATATTCGACGGTTAAAGCTTTTCTATTCAGACCCTTCTATAGTTTTTAAGATCCAAAACGTTTTATATTTTGATTCCAAATGATTGGTCTCGATGGTACCTTATGAAAGTTG